AAAATTTCTTGTTTAATCTGTGTAAATGTCGCTAGGAATTCCTTTCTCAAAATCTGACGTGTGTAGGAAATCGGCCTTTTCACTTGCTCGAAGACCAATACAAACGTAGCTCAATTTCCGTGTGATTTAGGGAACAGTGTCAACAAAATAACCCATTTCTTTCAGAAAATTTTATTATATTTGGTTACCAGCGATTGTTTAGTACACCCTGTTTAAACAAGATTCGAATAAAATTCATAACAAGTAAGAAAATTTCGAAGATAGGCTTTTCATTGTTGACTAAAACTCCCTTCCAAAGGAAATGATAGAAAATTTCATCTCGGTTAGAACACCTTTTCGTGTATAGAGCTTCCGATCACAGTAGGAATAAACTGAAAATAAAAAATACGTTTCCAGTATAATTTCTTATCTGATAGCGCATTATTATCGCAATAAAATCCTTGACCACCTTTACATTTCTGGTCGTAATTAAGGACTTTCGTAATGGCCAAACTCAGGAAATCTTGATTGAACCAAATCAACCACTTTACGAAAATCAGATAACTCCTGCTATTAAGTACTTTCTGTATTAGGACCAAACATCTGAAAGCTAAACGAAGATTTGTTGTCATTCCCTGTTAGCAAGTTGTTAAGGTTTTTCTGGTAGAAAAATAACTGTCACCTAACAATCTGAAACTAGTACAAACCCGCGGCTACAAAACATTAGCGCGAAACCTCGAAAACTAATTATTAACCACAATGCGGACATGTTAATGGCGTTTAACCCATTAGCTGTTAATAAAGGAAGATTCAAATGTTTACAGTAATACTACGAAAACAATATAAGTGGCATTACAGTCTACCCCTTTTATCGCCATTAAACTTAAATCCCACTTTACAAATCTCAGTAATATCTCGCAGATATGTAATATCCGCCTCCTTCGGCTTCCTTTGGTAGCAAACCTTATGGTCAAATGTGATTTCCGCTTTCTCCGCGCAATAGTGTTACCGCAATTTCTGTGGGGCTGTCTATAATTAATAGATACCGATCTTTTTATTTTTCTAAAATAAATTGACAAAAAATGATAAGCGATAAGAATATGTACTAGTGACGTAAAATCCCGGAAAAAAAACATTAAAGTATTGACTTGATACTTGGAAAACCACTGTGTGTGTGCGTCTGTTTGTGTAGAGAGACATGAAATCTCCTGGATTTAAGTTCTCAAGCCTAACTGTTTGCACTGGGATAACCATTCTGCAAATATTAAATTCAACTTCAACAAAACTGTGATTAGCACTTTGGTAGCGTACTAGTCCGTGTTGTTTGATTCAGTCATCTGCGCGCGTTCTGTAATCCGCCATTTTATCGGGGAAACTGCTTCACTTATTGTATTCGTAATTCGTACTGCACGGATAAAGCCTGCAAAATGACCTGGGGCCCCTTTCTCGAACGTCCCCGAAACTTTACGGACCCGAAGCCATATATTAAGGTCTAAATCTAAGGAACAGTAGCTCGGGGTCTAGCTTAAAAACCAGTCCATTCTATTTCGTTTTACTAGTATTTTTTAACGTTTGAATTTCAAAACTATAAATATATCTACAATAGATCTTGAACGCAAACACGGAAAACACAAAAACAGCTTTTCGGGACCGCTAACCTCTGCCGGGACTTTCGTGAAAGGGGCCCGTGGCCCTTAAACTTGCTTACAAGTCGAGCTGCAAAACCTGAGCTTGGAGCGGGAAACATGTCTACGACGTTAGAAACAAGAGCGCGAAGAGCGGGAGGAAGAGAGCACAAGGTCGTCCTTCGTGACGGGACCACCAGTATCTAAAGCCGCAAAGGCTTTTCGAAAGACTAACTGACCCTTACACATTATCTACTGTGTAATGACCACGGAATGAGACGAGCGATATCTATCAAGGCATTCAAATTGAAATGGTCGACTTGAAAAAATTCCGGATTGGTGGGGGCGGGGGAGGAGATCGGGACACGAGGCACAAATCAAAAGATTTCGGAAAGATTCTCAAGGTTGAGTTTGGGATAACCACTTATCGAATATTGAAAGAAGTGAAAAGCACAAATAAACCAAAGGTCACTGAGTTTGTATCTGGTCTCCATTTTTTAAGCAATAGGGTGCGAGATAACCAAGCAAGTATTGCCAGAAGACTGACTGTCACTCCCTGGAGTCACAGACTTCTTGTCACAAGTGACAGAATCTTTTGTTTCTTTTTTTTTGGAGGTGGGACAGGAGCCATTGGTTTTGAGAAGCTAATCAATTTGGAAGTGTAGTGGTACTTTTGATTCTAAATGCACCTGTTATTGTAATTAACTTTTATTTTGATAAATTTATATTTGTAAGGTTAAGCATTCCATTCATTGCCGATTATGTACTTTTTTAAAAAAACTTCACCTACCAAACATATCATTGACTAATTACAGACCTTGTTGAGTGGGTCGGGTGCGTGGGAGAACTTATCCATCTTGTTTCTTTAAACAGTAAAATTCGCTTTCGTAGGATTTTTCGGGTGCGGCAGACTGTTCACAGTCCTCTATTTTCTCGTACTTTTATTCGGTCGTTGAGCGCGCGCGAGGCTGTGAACAGTTTAGGTCTGGCCGGTTCCACCCTAGGCGTGTATTGACTGTAATCTCGTGCCATTAATAATTCTAATAAGCATGACGTTGGACGCAAGCTTTTCCTAAACATTTCAAGTAAGAAGGCCGCTTACCAAACCTGAAGCTGAGCTACAAAAGTAAACTAATGTTTATTCTTTCATAGAGGTGCATCTAACACGTGAAAATCATGACAACAGAGGTCTAACAAATTCATAATAATATTCTGCAGCTATTTGTCTTCTCGCTATTCATTATCTATGTTACAGTAAATTTAAATACATTTAAATACTACAAACGTAAAACAATGTTATAATGTTTGTGTCTAACACAGAAGTGGTATATTTTTATCCAACCTAAAAAAACCTCTTGCACTTAAGTTAAATTATACTGAAACGGCTGAATATCTTTTTTAAAAGGTTACGAAACGGTTAAGGTAAATACCAAAACAAATCATTAAATGACAGGTTAAGTGGGAGACCGAGTCTGCCGTCGCCTTCCGAAAATAACACCCCCTGCAACCTCTCCTCAAGAATAGGCCATGCTTAGTTGCAGGTATTGTTTACGTGTTTGTCCGTTTTCGACCAGTCGGTTCAGAGAACTTTTCGTATTGCACAGTACTCTTAGCTTCTACCTTGTCGTTTCTAGAGTCGTTTCAACCAATAGCAACCCCCTACCCTCCTCCTCCCCACCCCTTTCACCAAAATAATGCCAAGGAAACCCCTCTTGCAGAGCACATAAAGGCTTCGTTTAGGTTTATTTTCGGATCTCCACAATAATATCACCTCTTGGTATTTGAGTTTAAGAGAGACGCAAATGAAGTCTCGAGCAAGCTAAGGGGAGCAAATCCAGTGATGAGGCGGGAAGGGGGTATCATTTCTTTTGGAACTCCCCTTTTCTAGAATAGACCGAGCCAGCGGTTTTCGTCCCAGAGATTGAATTAATCGGGTCTCGACGTTTTAACCCTTTGAATACCAACTACGCATA